TTTTTTTTATTTGAGCTCAAAATTCAAGAAAAAATAACGTCTTTATCGCAATAAAGAGAATTTGTAGAAAAACTAAAGCTTTTCTGCATTAGTTGACTGTATTTTTATGTGCAAACTTCTTAATTAAGGTTTATTGAACCACGACTGTTAAATAACTTGAATTTTTAATGTTTAAAATTGTTTCGGTGTTAGCTTTTTTATATATTTATGACCTTTCTGGTTAAACAAATACAATACGAAATAAAAGAAGTGCACCTTTGATAATGCTTTTTGACCTTTATCTATGAAATCTAGCCCCCAATTTTACTACATTATTTTTATAAAAAATTTTTATCTTCAGCATGACTATACGCTAGGTAGTTAAATTATATTTTTATCGGTGTTATTAATTGCAGAACATGTTTAGGTTCAAATATTGCAACTTCCTTACTCTCATTCGATCATAGAAAATACTTATCTTCGGCTTAAAAAAAGGGAAAATAATTCGTTGTTATTCTTATGGCTTTATCTTACATATTTTTTATATGTACTTGCTTTTTACACAAGCGCAAAGAATTTCTTTTGTACAAAGTCAGGTGTTTGAAAATACTGTATGACTTAACTACAAATATATATTTGCATTCTATTTTAAATGCTTGATAGCCCAAAAAAATACTGCAAAAACCATTGTAGCCGTTATAAGTCACAAATATGTATTTGAAACTTTTTTAACTAAATTAAATTACACTTTTTTAAAACAGTAATTTTTTTTTTAGTTGAGTAATGTTATCGCCAGTCAATTATTGTAGATAGTATGGTAAGAACAAACATGTGTAGGGAACTGTGATTAGCTCTGAAGCGTTAATAAAAAGTGTTAAACTGGTTTTGTTGTTATATAATATAAGCAAATTCCAGAAATTTTTTGAGTTAAGGCAAATAAACTAGTATCTATATGGTTTAGAGCACACCTCTGAGATTTGGTTTAAAGTCTTTTCACATAGTGTGTAATTATAAAAACTTATGTTTATCTCGTTTAATTGAATGCTTTAAAAGTTAAAATCAATTATTAAAGAATAGCGTAAGTAGTTACAAATTTTTATAAGAGGCATAACAAACCTCAGCCATGTGCTGGTTTAAAAATATCGTAGAAAAGAATGATTTATTTAATTGAAGGGGGACAAGATGATTTAGAACAAAATAAAACAACACTGTTAATGAGCCACAAAGTAGATATATTTTACAGATATATATGCAATAGAAAAATAACGATAAAAAAAAAACTACAATGAGATAGAAAAAAACCAACAACAATTNAAACTTATGTTTATCTCGTTTAATTGAATGCTTTAAAAGTTAAAATCAATTATTAAAGAATAGCGTAAGTAGTTACAAATTTTTATAAGAGGCATTAAATAATTAAAGTTTGAGAACTAGCTTTAACAACAAAAATATGACCCAGTGACTGTGCTACCACCAATTACTGCGTATCTATCACTTAACAAAATTTAAAAAATTGATTTACAAACTCGTGCACTCAGACATTGCAATACGTTTAGACAACAATAATGTGTAATGTAAACGTACATTCTATACTATAAAATATATAACTCATTTACCAAATAATTTTGATGAACTTAACCTATGACACTTCATAGCCATGTGCAGTCATCGGTGCGCAGTAAATGGATCTGGGCTTTTGCTAAAAAACCCCAGAAAGATATTCCTAAAATAGTTGGATTCACCGAAATTAGTCAAGATTTTGTGACCATCTGCAGTCATACAAGCAATTGATATCAATATCAAAATAATAATTAAAAAAAAACATTATAGCTGAAAAACTTTATTTGCTGTAGTAGTACAAGATGATGCAAATAACAATAAAATAAAACAGTTTCAATTACTATCAAGAACAAAAAAAATAATTTACCACAATCAAGAACCTAAATCCGCAGTTAAAGAGCCATTTACCACTACTTTGTATTGTTAGTAATTTTTGTTAATGTTGCTGTATGTTCGTCTTTTTAAAAATTGGTCAGGTCAGTGTCATTTCTAACAATACACCAATAGTCAGTTATAAAAAGTCATTTTCTGTTGCAAAAATAATAGTAGTGGTATTAAATACCAGGGTTGTTTAATTTTAAAATGAAGGTTATAAGTAAGTGTTAATAATACCTAATTATTTTGTGAATTTCGTAGGACAATCAGGATAACAGTAAAAAAAAAAAACCAGTGTACAGCACGTACTCGGATACCTAAGTAATTAGTTGTTTTTCTCTGAAATCATATGGCAGATAATATCATTATAAATATAAATAGAACTATCATGAAACGACAATGCGTACAAATGCTGCAATCGCGGAAATAAGTATACCTACGTTTGTTATGCATGGTTGCAATAAATGTTTAAATATCTAATAACAGAACAGTTATAAGCAATATATCATGGCACAGGGCAATATGAAACATATCGAGGCTGGCCAGTACAAGACTATGAACTTTCATCGAATCTTCAGATGTCTTAAAAATAACCTCCTATACTGCCTACGCTAATTACATTTGTAACGTCATGCTCACATTTATTACATATGTATATTAATTTTCCATAGCATAGTACTACATGCCAGTGAATGTCCCTTCGAGACGTTCATCCCACAAAGGTTTTTTTTGACAAATATTATTCAAGCATCAAAAGTATACTAAAAATACCATAAGAAACACCTACAAACATTGCAAATCATTCAACTGTACCCTTTTTTACATGTTTGACTTTAAAAATCTACAATTTACCATACAACCTTATAAATAATCACTTAAAATTCCATTAATAAGATCTTTATGATCCCCCCGATTCTTGTTTACATAAAAAATTACGTCTACATAAACCTGATCCATTTTCAAACAGATCTATAACTTTTATTTCTTAAATAACACAAAAAAAAAGGAAAAACAGTTTCCAGCGTTGCTACATACATTTGTGCTCCTCCTACCTTTCTGAGTTGTGTAAAAAAAGAACACAATGAAAAACAATCATTGTTATCATACAGTACTATAAAATTTACCTGTTTAGTAGAAAATTATGAAAAAATGTAAGAAATTGTCTAAACAACTATTAATTTATTAAAAAAATCAAATGAATAAGAAGTGCAAGAAAATAAAAATTTTTTAATATATAGGAAAGCTTATTTTGTAATACATACTAATTTCTTAAGTTTTGAGAAAAACGTGCACAAAGAAAATACGTGTCAGTAAATAAATTATTTATTCAATGTATAGTTAAACCAAAAGTAACTTAACATGTATATTTTAATTATAATTCAAGTTGTACAATAATGTGTAGTTATCACGTTTCATATACCGGGCCTGCTCATAGCAGAGTGGATAAGAGCCTCAGCTACCGTACAAAAAGATCGTGGGTTCAAAACTCTCTGGAATTCTTTTTTTTTTGTTTCAGAATTGGTTAAAAGAAAAAAAAAAAAATTTATTCGATTCTTAATGTGTTGCGTGGTATTGTGATGTATTGTCATGTAGCAGAGATAAGTAGGGAGATTGCCAGCACCTATGTTAAAAAGTGTGCCGATGTTTCGGCGCTGATTTGAGCGCCAATCCACCGTGACCAGCAGGGGAACTATGCACACGTTTTCTATTGGCTGGCGGCTTGTAGGCTCAGCTCGTGGGGAGACCTGAGGGGAGATAAGTGAGGGAGACATGAGAATCCAAATGTGTGCATCGGTGATGGAGAGAAGAGAAGCTAAACCTATATGTTTACGCATACAACGGGCTATATATATAGCTATTGTTGTACACTCATACGGAAAAGAGCTGCGCGTATTACTTTTCTTGCTTTTTCTTCCTGAAAGAAAGATAAGCTTTTTAAATGCAGTTGGTGATTTGTTCCGCTATAAAAATAAAAACATAATTGTCAAGGTATTGAATTTTATTTTTTTTACTTTTTCAAAAAATGACAAGCTCAACGCAATGAACATATTAATATGCTTTATTAATAAACGAGCGCCTTTATCCCAATAATCCAGTGTGCTTAATTGTTCTTCACTTTTATGATATGTAAAATTATTGATTAATAAATGAAAGCATTCACGACAACGACACAGTACGCTCAAATATTTCTTGTACTAATTAATTTTATTTACTAATATACTAAACGCCTTTACCCAAACGCCCCATTGCGCTGACATCTTTATTACTTAATTTATATTTCTTTACCACTAATACACAGCTTCACAGCAATAATACGATAAAGCTTAAATTAAATCTTAAGGTTCAAAACTTTACGATAAACAAATGTAACTCTAAGCCATCTTTTATCCTATGCTTTAATAGCTTAGGTGGCTTGAGCATAGGCGTTAAACTTAGTTTAGCGGCTCCAGGTTCTAATCTCACTTGGAGCAAGTTTTTTTTTATTATTACAACAATACTTTAAATGTTTCAAACTTTTTTTCATGATAACTTACGTATTTTGTTTAACCTGTAACCAAAAAGATTTTTTTATTTTCCTCAATATTAATATACGATCCAAGAAAATTTTTTTTCTATTCACGGCTAAGAAAATCATTTGACACATTAAGTAAAAGCTTTTCAAGTGCAGTTGATATTTCATTTAACTGTAAAAACAAAAACATAATTGTTAAATTAATAAAATTAGTAATTTTTAAAATTATATTGCACATGAAAACACTTTTGTAATCCTGTATATAATTCAAGTTTCTAGATAATAAGCTAGCACTATCAGTTATTCCTTCAATAATAATTTCAATAAATAATTTTTCTAAGTATTAATTTTTCAAGACCCTTCAAAGGCATGTTCCATTTTTAAGTATATATCTATCAATATGCAGAACAGCTGAATCATTTAAATACTTTTCTTGTTTACGATTTGTGCATTTTTTGTAAGGATTTGCTTTTCATGTTTCATACTCGATATAAGAACCTTTTTTTCATGTTGATAAAGTCTTACACTGTTCAGCCCTGTTATTTATACATTAAATTGCTTTAAACAAATTAAATTCACTTTAACGGTTCTTTGTGTTCATAAAGTGAGTTTTTAAGCTTTCAAGAACATAACAATGTGATTTAAATTGCGTAATAACGGTTTTAGTGTTATATTGTAGATTACAAATATAAAAAATCAGTATAAGCTTCTTGGATACTTAAATATTTGATACGTGACATAAGTATATGCTGTTTACCTTATTACTTAAAACAATTTTAATTTTCAAAACTTTTGACACAGTTTTTAGCCTTACAATATTTAACCAAAAAAATGCAGAACAACCAAACTAATACAATTTTTCAAAAGTCTATTAAATTGCAAAATCATACTTACAAAACCGAAGTCTTTGATTCCCTTGCTTCTAAGAATTTAAAAGTGAGTATAACATTTGTATTATATTTTACGTGTCTTAATTCATTTACGATATAGTTTAAATATGCATTGATTTATTAAGTATAATCTCTATACAACGAGTATCTTTATTTTAAGTTAATTATAGAAAGTCTTATTATTTTTTTTATTTGAGCTCAAAATTCAAGAAAAAATAACGTCTTTATCGCAATAAAGAGAATTTGTAGAAAAACTAAAGCTTTTCTGCATTAGTTGACTGTATTTTTATGTGCAAACTTCTTAATTAAGGTTTATTGAACCACGACTGTTAAATAACTTGAATTTTTAATGTTTAAAATTGTTTCGGTGTTAGCTTTTTTATATATTTATGACCTTTCTGGTTAAACAAATACAATACGAAATAAAAGAAGTGCACCTTTGATAATGCTTTTTGACCTTTATCTATGAAATCTAGCCCCCAATTTTACTACATTATTTATAAAAAAAATTTTTATCTTCAGCATGACTATACGCTAGGTAGTTAAATTATATTTTTATCGGTGTTATTAATTGCAGAACATGTTTAGGTTCAAATATTGCAACTTCCTTACTCTCATTCGATCATAGAAAATACTTATCTTCGGCTTAAAAAAAGGGAAAATAATTCGTTGTTATTCTTATGGCTTTATCTTACATATTTTTTATATGTACTTGCTTTTTACACAAGCGCAAAGAATTTCTTTTGTACAAAGTCAGGTGTTTGAAAATACTGTATGACTTAACTACAAATATATATTTGCATTCTATTTTAAATGCTTGATAGCCCAAAAAAATACTGCAAAAACCATTGTAGCCGTTATAAGTCACAAATATGTATTTGAAACTTTTTTAACTAAATTAAATTACACTTTTTTAAAACAGTAATTTTTTTTTTAGTTGAGTAATGTTATCGCCAGTCAATTATTGTAGATAGTATGGTAAGAACAAACATGTGTAGGGAACTGTGATTAGCTCTGAAGCGTTAATAAAAAGTGTTAAACTGGTTTTGTTGTTATATAATATAAGCAAATTCCAGAAATTTTTTGAGTTAAGGCAAATAAACTAGTATCTATATGGTTTAGAGCACACCTCTGAGATTTGGTTTAAAGTCTTTTCACATAGTGTGTAATTATAAAAACTTATGTTTATCTCGTTTAATTGAATGCTTTAAAAGTTAAAATCAATTATTAAAGAATAGCGTAAGTAGTTACAAATTTTTATAAGAGGCATTAAATAATTAAAGTTTGAGAACTAGCTTTAACAACAAAAATATGACCCAGTGACTGTGCTACCACCAATTACTGCGTATCTATCACTTAACAAAATTTAAAAAATTGATTTACAAACTCGTGCACTCAGACATTGCAATACGTTTAGACAACAATAATGTGTAATGTAAACGTACATTCTATACTATAAAATATATAACTCATTTACCAAATAATTTTGATGAACTTAACCTATGACACTTCATAGCCATGTGCAGTCATCGGTGCGCAGTAAATGGATCTGGGCTTTTGCTAAAAAACCCCAGAAAGATATTCCTAAAATAGTTGGATTCACCGAAATTAGTCAAGATTTTGTGACCATCTGCAGTCATACAAGCAATTGATATCAATATCAAAATAATAATTAAAAAAAAACATTATAGCTGAAAAACTTTATTTGCTGTAGTAGTACAAGATGATGCAAATAACAATAAAATAAAACAGTTTCAATTACTATCAAGAACAAAAAAAATAATTTACCACAATCAAGAACCTAAATCCGCAGTTAAAGAGCCATTTACCACTACTTTGTATTGTTAGTAATTTTTGTTAATGTTGCTGTATGTTCGTCTTTTTAAAAATTGGTCAGGTCAGTGTCATTTCTAACAATACACCAATAGTCAGTTATAAAAAGTCATTTTCTGTTGCAAAAATAATAGTAGTGGTATTAAATACCAGGGTTGTTTAATTTTAAAATGAAGGTTATAAGTAAGTGTTAATAATACCTAATTATTTTGTGAATTTCGTAGGACAATCAGGATAACAGTAAAAAAAAAAAACCAGTGTACAGCACGTACTCGGATACCTAAGTAATTAGTTGTTTTTCTCTGAAATCATATGGCAGATAATATCATTATAAATATAAATAGAACTATCATGAAACGACAATGCGTACAAATGCTGCAATCGCGGAAATAAGTATACCTACGTTTGTTATGCATGGTTGCAATAAATGTTTAAATATCTAATAACAGAACAGTTATAAGCAATATATCATGGCACAGGGCAATATGAAACATATCGAGGCTGGCCAGTACAAGACTATGAACTTTCATCGAATCTTCCGATGACTTCAAAATAAGTTCTTACCACCTACGCTTATAACTTCTCTCACGTCCTGCTTACATATGTCACATACACTAGCACCTATTTATAGACCATATATAACACCCAAAATAGAAGTTCAGGTTAGGCACTGGTAAGTGACGCACGTGCGTCCAAGCTGCAGAGCAATTGTACACGAAAAAACAACAAAAATCGCAGAACCGAAGTGCTAGGACATAAGGGAAGAAGGATTAATACAAATAAGAGTAAGATAGAAGCTGAAGGCACATTAACAGGAAAAAATGTTAGGACAAGTAAAGAAGAACGAGATCCGAGGTCACAGAACAAGTTAACCTACAAAAAAGAGGTTAGGCTTTTTCACAGCAGACATGAAAGACGACAAGAGCGATGAATGAAACAAAAAGAAGAACACAAGGAGCACGACTAACACACGTACAGGCAACGCGCCCATCATCAAGACCGGGGCGATCTTTAAGACACCAACGGTGCAACCGACGATTTTCACTGCAGGTCTCAGCAAGGCAAAGAAAGACAAAGATAAGGAGCATGAAAAAAGCCTGGAGGATGAGCCACAACCACGCTGGGTGGAGAGACTAGAGAGAAGCATTAAAGACAGATTGGAGCAGTTGGAAAGGGCGACGACGCAAAAACTAGATGACACATTAGAAGGTATCAGAGCAGAATGGAGGAAGAAGGAAGGAGCATGGGAGAAAGAGAAGGAAGAGTGGAAGGCAGAAAAAAAGGAGTNATTTTTTTATTTATTTTTTTTTATTATTACAACATTACTTTAAATGTTTTAGACTTTTTTTTATGATTACTTACGTTTTTTGTTTAACCAGTGACCAAAAAGGTTTTTTTTATTTGTTTCAATGTTGGTGTACGATGCAAGAAAATTTTTTTTCTATTCACGGCTGAAAAAATCAATTGATGCATTAAGTAAAAGCTTTCCAAGTGCAGTTGATCATTCATTCAATTATAAAGAGAAAAACATAACTGTCAAGTTATTAAAATTAGTAATATTTAGAATTATATTGCACTATTTAACACTTTTGTAATCCTGTATATAATTCAAGTTTCTAGATAATAAGCTAGCACTATCAGTTATTCCTTGTCAATTTTTAAAACAGCGTACAAGACATTTCATATCTGCTTGATGCACGCTGTGATGCGCGCATGATCATACAGTACATCCATATATAACTACTTTAGCACGTTACTATCCGCAGCGCTGTTGTTTTGTTCTAAACCGCGACTGTTTTGTTTTTATCATACTGATTGACAGTGCTGCCGATGGCGTGAATTAGTCTTGCTTACTGAGTTTTCTAGCATTAATCATATTTTACCATGATACTAATTGTTTGTAATTATTATTCAGTGTTGTGCAGTTTTTGGCAACGATCATCTCAAGACATTTATACTTCATCATAAAAAATTCATCTTAACAGGGGGAGTATTAGTTACGTTTACTTTCTGACTTTAACTTTTTTTTTTCTTTTCCACAATGCATGCGTTCAGTACTCCTTTTATTTTCTTGCTGTATTTTTCGACTACATAGCATTTTTCTGTTATTGTATGTACTTGTTATTATAGTTGAAGCGAGTACAACAGAAAAATAGAAAGCAATAGCGTTTCTGCAAGATGCCAAAATCGTAACGGCCACAACGGCCCTTACAATGGACATACGTTGCGTCGATTCTCTGCAGATAAGAAATGACAATCTGTTTAGATTACGAATTCAGGTATTTACTTAGTTATAGATGTAAATGTGTGGTTACATAAATTATTATTAAGTAGCTTGGTAATAAGGCCTGTTGGAAAATGCATATGTGTGTTTTCGTGCGTATTTATATACATTATTAGTTGTTACGTACCTTTGCCACGGCCTAATTCGTGCACCACAGAATTGAAATTGGTCTTGTTCATGTTTATGGCTTCGATATTTTATAAAACAGTAAAAGCATTTGAATTCTGTGGTGCACGAATTAAGCCGTGGCAAGTGTACATCGATAACTCTCCAAAAATTTGCGTATTTTAAGGGTGGAATATTCGAATTCTTTCAACCGATTTGCAACTGTTTGAATAGATTCTTTATGTTATCCATAATGAGAATACCTTACAAGTATTTTTGCCATACTCGATCTGTATAATGAAATTTTTTACGACTTTTTTATTTTAAATCACGTACTCTTCAATGAAATAAAAGCGTTTCTATCACGTTTAAAGCTAAATGAAGTATCAGACAGAAAAAACGAATCAGATTTAATTGACTATTTCTACTAACTTATTAACAATTTTTTTATTCTGAATGGCTAATAAGCTTCGATAGATTCCAATCCTTTTTTTCTTGAAAAAAAAAATGCCGTAATTTTTTTTTTGAGCGAAAAAAAGATTTAAATAATTTTTAAGCAATTTTTTGTGAAAATTGAACAGCAACGATAGCAATTTAAAAAATTATAATAGGTAGATAGGTGGACCACGATCAATCAAGCGTCCATACGGTGTTCAGTAGTTTAAGATAAAATATCAAATGTCACAGATTTTGGTTTCACAACTTACACAACATCTGAGTCTTGAAATTATTTATATGACCAGTATATATATGACCAATCAGAATATATTCATGCATATTTTTTGTGTACGCTGAGAAAAGTTATTAAAATTTTAAATGTATTG